GGGTGTTAAAAAGCGATCCTCCTTCAACAAACACACACACACTACGTAATTTTTATAATTTTCAGAACTTCAAGCTTCCACCTTACTAAGCATTGTGGATGGATATTCCATAACTAGACTTCTCTTGAATACCCACAGCAAAGACTCCACACTTCCCTGGCTTTTTCGCCTAGCATTGCTGTAATCCAAAAATATATCCTGATGTTGATAATCAGAGACCCTTGTTTGGAGCCTCCAAGAGGGAAGAGGAAACTGTCCCCCCCCCCATAGGGCCAACTAGTCCGAATCATATAGCTAATCCAGCAGCCTTGAACTCATCCCACATTGCCATGCCTTTAACCAGTCCTGTTTCCTGCTAGGACTTGATGCTCAATTGAGTACCATAAAGGAGAACAGAAACACCTTGTTTCAAAAACCCCACTGGCTACCAGTCCATTTCCAGGTGCCATTCAAAGCTTTGGTTATGACCTACAAAGCTCTATACAGATTGCGTTCATGCTATCTGAATGACCATCTTTCTCTCTATGATTCTTCTCGGCTTTGAGATATTCCGGGGAAGTCTTTCTCTCAGTCCCATCCCACTCACCGCTACTTTTGGTGAAGATAAGAGAGGGCCTTCTTGGTGGCTGTTCCCAGATTGTGGAACTACCTTCCAAGGGAGGCTAGACTGGCCCTAGTCAGCTTTCCTGTCACCAGCAAGGAAACTTTTTTGTTCTGACAGGACTTTTTCTTTGGCCACTAAATGGCTGTCGGGGCAGCATTGGTGTTGCGCTCTCTGTGTGTGTGTGTGTGTGTGTGTGTGTGTTTTCACCAGCAAGCAAACTTTTTTTTCTTCCAACAGGCTTTTTTCTTTGGCAGGCTTCCTCAAACTCGGCCCTTCAGATGTTTTTGCCCTACAACTCCCATGATCCCTAGCTAGCAGGACCACTGGTCAGGGATGATTAGAACTGTAGTCTCAAAACATCTAGAGGGCCGAGTTTGAGGGTAGGTGTTATGTACTGAGTTGAATAGGATCCAAAATGCAGCAGTCTGATTGGTCCTAGAACAATAGGATCCAAAATACAGCAGTCTGATTGGTCCTAGAACAATGCAGCAGTATGATTGGTCTGCAGGAGCCACCCAATCCAGCTCCAGATGGAAGTGAATCCACAACCTGATTGGCCTACAGGAGAATTCCGGAATTAGCCAATCACGTGCAGCCCATTGTGTAAATAATAATAATAATAATAATAATAATAATTTTTATTTATACCCCGCCCTCCCCTGCCAAGGCCGGGCTTACAAGCAATAATAAAAACAAGATGAATGATTACAACTTTAAAACAAAAATAAAATACAACATTAAAATAATGGAATATTAAAATGTAGCCTCATTGCAGGAGGAGAAGGAAAAGAAAAAAGAGAGGGAGGGAGGGAATCAAATTGGCTCCAAGCCAAAGGCCAGACGGAACAACTCTGTCTTACAGGCCCTGCGGAAAGAAATCAGATCCTGCAGGGCCCTGGTCTCATGAGGCAGAGCGTTCCACCAGGCCGGAGCCAGAGTTGAAAAGGCCCTGGCTCTGGTTGAAGCCAATCTAACTTCCTTAGGGCCTGGGACCACTAGGGTGTTGTTATTTATGGACCTTGAGGCTCTCTGTGGGGCATACCAGGAGAGGTGGGCCTGTAGGTACAAGGGTCCTAGGCCGTGAAGGGCTTTAAAGGTCAAAAGCAGCACCTTAAATCTGACCCTGTACTCCACCGGGAGCCAGTGCAGCTTGAAAAGCACTGGGTGAATATGCTCCCATGGCAGAGACCCCGTGAGGAGCCTCGCTGCAGCATTCTGTACCCGCTGGAGTTTCTGGGACAGCTTCGAGGGCAGCCCCGCGTAGAGCGAATTACAGTAGTCAAGCCTGGAGATGACCGTCACATGGATCACTGTGGCCAGGTTGGGGCGGGAAAGGTAAGGGACCAACTGCTTGATGCGGCGAAGGTGGAAAAATGTCGCCTTGGCTGTTGCTGTAACTTGCGCCTCCATGGAAAGGGAGGCGTCAAGGATTACACCCAAACTCTTAATGGAAGGCAATGGCACTAATTGGGCCCCCGCAAGAGAAGGGAGTTGGTCCCTCATCCCCATGCCATCCCGACCCAGCCATAGGACCTCTGTCTTCGAAGGATTTAGTTTCAATCGGCTCCCACGAAACCATCCAGCCACAGCTTCCAAGCATCTGGTCAGTGTGTTCGGGGCCGAGTCTAAAAGGATCAGCAGTCCTGACCCGCCTCGATCCAGTTGTCTACAGAGATCATCTGTTAGGGCGACCAGAGCCGTCTCCGTCCCAAAACCAGGACGGAAACCGGACTGAAATGGATCGAATGCCAATGTTTCCTCCAGAAACCTACCAAGCTGTTCAGCAATCGCTCTCTCAATTACCTTACCCAGGTATGGAAGATTTGAAACTGGGCGGTAATTGGATAGGTCTAAGGGATCTAATGAAGTTTTCTTTAAGAGTGGACACACCACTGCTTCCTTCAGTTCCCCTGGGAATGTCCCCGTGTCAAGGGACAAATTGATCATTTCAACCAGGGGGTCCGCGCAACATCTGGGCACTCCCTAATCAGCCAAGACGGGCACGGATCAAGGAGGCAGGTGGTGGGCCTACCAACTTGGAGGAATCTATCCACATCAGTAGGGAGTATCCGATCGAAATGGTCCAACACTGGACCTGAAGTCAGTCGAGGGGCCTCCAGTTCAGTCACTGTATCTAAATTGGCAGGGAGGTCACGGCGGAGCAACAGGACTTTCTCTGCAAAAAAGCTCGCGAATGCCTCACAGCTGTGGGTCGAATTTGTGCTAAAATTTGGTTGTCCTCCTAAGGACGTTATTGACCTAATTATTCTAAAAAGTTGTGCCGGGCGAGAGCTAGCGGATGCAATGGAAGCTGCAAAGTAAGATTTCTTAGCAGCTTTCATAGCCATCTCATAGGCTTTCATAAGCGTCCTATAAGATGTTCTTGAGGCTCCGTCATGAGTCCGTCGCCATACTCGCTCTAGCCGTCTGAGATCCCGCTTCATTTTCCGGAGCTCCTCAGTAAACCAAGGGGCCCGGTTTCGACGGGGTCGCAAAGGGCGCTTAGGCGCGATCTCATCAATGGCTGCCAAGAGCCGGTTATTCCAGTCCTCAACAAGGTCATCTAATGAGTCGCCAGGAGGAGCAGGGTTCCGCAAGGCTTGTCGGAATCTATCAGGATCCATCAGTTTTCGCGGACGAGCCCAAATAGGTTCGCCACCAGAGCCGGGGTGGAGCGGGAAGTCAATCTTGGCTTTCAGAGCATAGTGATCAGACCATGGCACTTCCACAGCGGGGAGCATGATCACATCTATGCCAGCCCCAAAGATCAGATCGAGCGTGTGGCCTGCTTGATGAGTGGGGCCCAAAACAAACTGGGAGAGCCCTAGTGTTGCCATGGAAGTCACTAGGTCCAGAGCCTGTGAGGAGGGAGAGGCATCTGCATGGACGTTGAAGTCTCCCAAAACCAGTAGGTTTGGGAACTCCAAGGCCCAGCCCGCCACCACCTCCAGCAGGTCTGACAGGGTGGCTGCAGGTGTGCTGGGTGGTCGGTACACCAGCCAGACAGCCAAGCTCTCCTTGGTGCCCCACACGAGACCAACACATTCAATGCCAGAGATCGCCGGTGATGGCAAAGCTCTGAAAGAGCAATCCTCCCGGAATAACGACGCTACTCCTCCCCCGCCGACCCACAGTCCGCGATTGATGGAGGACAGAGAAACCTGGGGGTGTTATCTCATGTAGGGAGACTACTTCGCCTTCCCGTACCCAGGTCTCCGTCACGCAAGCCAGGTCAATCCTCTGCGAGACAAAAAAGTCACGCATGGTGGCGGTTTTGTTGCCTATGGACCTGGCATTGCACAGCACCAATGACGTAGGTGTGTAATCCTTGCTCTCCCTACCGTCATCCCTTGGGATGGGGCGTAGATTGGAAGGGGTTCGAGGATCACTGCATTTATATATAATGTATATAAAGCAGATACTTTGAGGGGACTTTCATTTTCCTCCTCACCACTATGAGCTGAATAAAGAGCATGAAATCCACTCTCAACTCGGAGTATATTTCAGTAGGTGTTGTTCTTTGTGTTTGGAGACTACGTTGGCCCTAGTCTGCTTTCCTGTCACCAGCAAGCAAACTTTTTTCTTTGGCCTTTTTCTTTGGCCACTAACTGGCTGTCGTGGCAGCATAGGTGTTGTCCTCTGTGTGTGTGTGAGTTTTCAAATGATTTTCAGATATTCTCAGTGCTGTATTTATTATAGCAGCTAACAAAACAGATACATTAAATTATTATTTGTAATAATAAATAAATATAATCCAATCAATAAAAACATTTTATATTTATAATTTAATATCTCTTGTTAGCCACTGTAATAAAAACAGAGTTTAAGTGATTTGGTATTTTGTTGCATTCCACAGGAAACTTGTCTGAAACGCTGTTTGATGCTCCAAAACCTGTCTCTCTATTTGTACATACTTGTGTGGAATCTCTTAATTAAAATAAAAATGGGGGAAATAAACCGAAAGTTAACTTTCCTAAATATATCTGTTGTTTCTGCTCACCTGAAGCAACCTAACAGACAAGTAAACGGTGAAGCAAGGTAAAGAAAACACCAGGTAGGCTACCCGCCTAGGTGGACCAGGTTGCCCTGTCCCCGCTAAAGACCTTCTGTGGGTTTTCACTTTGCTTCCCCATTTGAAGAAGGCTTGGTTCAGAAGCGCCAGGAATCTGCACTGCAAAAGTAAAAAATAACAAATCGCTGGCCTAGATCATGTTTACATCTCTTGATGAGATTAGCTCGGCAAGCGGTTCAGAAGATCATAATCCAATTAGGGTACGAGGGTCACCGAAAAAGAAAAAGGAACCCCGGCAGCAACCCTAAACAACAGAGCATGGGGTGGAATCCCCACCCCACGCCCCCATTGAGCAAAGCACGCAGATCGCAAAGCGGCGCCTTTCGGGAGAAAGAGGAGGGATCGCGCTTGCGCACTTCCCTCGGAACGCAGGTAAGGAAAGAGGGGATCTCCTGGGACCCGCGAATCCTTCGGCGGGATTAGGTGAAGGCGAGCCTTGGTTAGAGAAGAGCCCAAATTTCAAAGGTCCTCCGGAAGACCCGCCCTTCGCCGCGGCAGTCTGGGGCGTTGAGCGGGATCCGCTGTGATGCTTCTGTCTGGGGTGTTTTTTTGGGGTTGTCGCCATCCCGTTTTTCGAGCTGGGGCGGGGTGCCTGCTGTCCAAAAGAGAAATGGATCCCGATATTGGGGGATGAGAGAAGCGGGGAGGGGGCGTGCCGGATCCTTGAAGCGATCCTTACCCAATGCATTAAAAAAGAAATAACTTTTGCAAGCGTTTGTGTGTGCAGACAAATGCTCCCTCGTTGGATCAGCAACAGCGATGGCAGACGCAGGCGGAAGAGCAGTGCAGATTTGGAGGGGGGGAGTGTGGGGAGTCAGACAGCTGCCTCCCTCCCTCCAAGCCTAACAGTGCGTGTGGGGAGGGGGGGTCTGATCTCGATCTCTCTTTCTCCCGCCTCCCTTCCAATTTATTATGATGGAGGAGAGTGGGAAGGTCAAGCCGCGGTTGCCACTGAACTGGGAAGAAAGTTGCCGCGCAGCAGCAGTGAAGGGCGCCGGGGTAGCGCTGGTCCAAAGAGCCAAAATCCTGTGTTTTGGTATTTTTCTTATTTTCCCATACAAACACACACACACAAATAAAAAAAACATGGGCGTAGCCAGGATTTATTTAAGGGGGGGTGGGCAGGGTTTATGTTGGGCGGGGGGCGGAACCAAGCTATTTGCGATGCAATTGGTCAGTTAAGCACTTTTATTTATTTACTTGATTTAGGCTGGGATTGATTTACTTGATTTAGGCACACAAACCCAGTACTGGAACTTGGTATTGCTTCTTGATCACAAGACATCAGGGGTTGAGGAGTCCCTCTCTGGGGACAGGATCAATTCCTCACCTTCCCCCCTGGCATCTCTTTAAACGGCCTAAGGTCCTGCCAGCGCTGAGGGAGATTGTAGCCTACCCACCGCCTGCCTTGACACACTCCTGGAGAAATAGGAAGGGGAAGCTTCCCGCTTCCTGTTCCTTCTGGAATCATCGCTCCATCCCCTGTACCCTATATGTTGTAACTGAGCCAAAAAGTAGGCATAGCGGAAATAATCACGCAATCTTCCTCTTCCTGCTTCTTATAACCAACTCGCTGGCTCCCATTTCCTCTGTTGATGGCCGTGTCTGTATTTAAGTGCCTCCAGACTCTGTGTGTGTCACAGGAGGGGTTCCTGCGTAAATTTAGGTACACTGTTGTCCTGGTGCAAGAAACCCCGCTTAAAAATGAATAAAAATAGATCTTCTGCGGTTAGGGAACTGACAGTGTAATGCACTGAGAAGTGTGGGGTGAGCAAATGATGAATGGGAAGGCATGTAAACACACCAGGAGTAAATCAGGATGAATGCTCTTTGTTGTGTAAGTGCCCCATAAGTAAATCCAAAGGAAAGCACAGTAAATAGTTAGCCGCAGGGTAAAGCAAATCAGGAAGGCTGCTGAATTGTCCACAGGAAGCGTTAGACTGTAAGCCTCTTCTGCAAATGCAGCTAACTTGATGTTGCTAGGCTACGGTTCTCATCACTCCCAGCCAGCATGCCCAGTGGTCAGGGGTTATGGGAATCCAACAACATCTGGAGGAGACAGTGCTACATAAGGCCTCATTCTCCTTGTCATCAGTGTGTAGAAGGCGTCAGTCTGGTTCACACATAACATTAAACCTTAATTTGTGGAACTGTGTTTTATTACATGATGGTGTGGCATTAGATGTGAACCATGTCCTATGGCTTAACTATGGTTTCTTTATTGCCATCAAGCCATCATCCAAAGCCACAGCTTGTTGGCTTATAAATCTTGGCTTGTTTTAATTATGACTTGATGCATGTTTGTTTTTGGTTTTTTGGTTGTAATTCAGAAAAGTGAACAAGGAATAAAAAAAATTTAAGAAAGCAAAGGTATGGGGCAAGAGTAGCTGGAAAATAAAGCAAACTGGAGAAGCAAACTGGTTTGTTTGATCATCTGTGAGACAACTTGTGGTTTGTGAAACAAACCGTGGCTTAGCATTAAGACAGACCGATATGCTCCTTTATAATGTGTTTTTGCTAACATTTTACCATATGCTGTCCACACCAGTGGGCAAAGTTGGATGAGAAGTAGCCAGGTTTCACCTTGATATACCATTGCCCACATAATTTGTTTTACAGCAGAAGTGTGCAATTCTTAGACTCACAGAATTGTAGAGTTGGGTCATCTAGGACTCATCTACATTAGTAAAAAAAACTGCTATGAATGCGTTATAAACATGCAACACTAGATGGTGCTGTAGAGCAAAAAATTATCTTCGCGATTTTCCATTGTGAGGTTCCCCCCCCCCTTTTTTTTGTTATAATGATTTAATTTCTGACTTATATATTGCGGGGGGTTTTCCCCTTTGTGTAGCTGCACCCCTGTTTTAACCCACTGCAATGCAGGAATCTCAACTGAAGCATCCATGACAGAAGGTCACCCAACCTCTGCTCAAAAACCTCCTTCGTTCAACATTGCTCCTGTGACTTCCAACACCGTTCTACGCCTTGCGCAGCATGGAAACTCATGTGTTGCTCCAGCTGCTGAAGTTACACCTTGAGGTGTTGGTTGCGGTGCTCCACTCAGCCATCAGCCGATGCAACGCCTATCTTATGAGTATCAGAAGGCGGCAGAGGAGGAGAGTGCTGATAGGGCGGGTGATTCAGAACCACATCTTGAGGACTAGGCGTATCATTCAGAGGAGGAAGAGCTGCAGACATATGGTTCCTATCGTCACCTTGTTGGAAAGCGGGCCGAAATTGCGGCGCTGGTGGGTCTGCCCCACCAAGCAGCATTGGTGGGAGCGTTCCATGCTGGGGACCCGGGACGACGAAACGTGGATTGAGAGCTTCCAGATGAGCAGGGGGACCCTCTTCGAAATTGCGGATGTCCTCCGACCCCAGCTCCAGAGGCAGAGAACTATCATGCGGGAAGCCATCCCCGTCGAGAAGCGGGTCGCTATCGCCGTGTGGTGGCTTTCTAATCTGAAGTGCTACCGCGAAGTTGCTGCTCAGTTTGGAGTCGGGAGGTCGACGGTGGGAGAGATCGTTCTGGAGGTGTGCTTTGCCATCAAGCACCTGCTCGTCCAGAAGACAATCTATTTGGGCGACTACTGGAAGGTAAAGATTTTTTAAAATGTGTTTTTAAAAAAGTTGCTGCAGTTTCACAGGTTCAAACTAACACTGCTGTGCCACACTGCTGCATTTTCTGGAGGGTGTGTGAGTGTGTTGAGTTGCACAATGCAAAGGAAAAAGAGCTATAGATAGATAGATAGATAGATAGATAGATAGATGATAGATAGATAATTTTTCTGTTTTACAATTTCAAATACTCATTTTACATCCTTAAGATATCAACGACTTCCCTTTTTCTCTTTCCACGCTTCATTTTACATATCTTAAATCCCTGTATACTTTAACAAAAACTATACCAATCAGTATTCCATTACTGCATCCATCAAAACTTATTTATTGCATCCGTCAAAACTTACTGTTGAATTTATCTTAACGCTGCCAGCGTTTTCAGCTATACAGTGGTACCTCGGATTGCATACGCTTCAGGTTACATACACTTCAGGTTACAGACTGCGCTAACCCAGAAATAGTACGTCGGGTTAAGAACTTTGCTTCGAGATGAGAACAGAAATTATGCTCCAACGGCAGCAGGAGGTGCCATTAGCTAAAGTGGTGCTTCAGGTTAAGAACAGTTTCAGGTTAAGAACGGACCTCCAGAACGAATTAAGTACTTAACCCGAGGTACCACTGTACACTATTATTTTCCATATATTCAATAAACGTTTTCCAATCTTCTTTAAACGTATGTTTATAGTTATAGCTAAAAAGTTGGACAGATGGCAAGAATAAGATCGATAGCGTAAGAACATTTGCTAATTGATATTATTCTTGCCATCTGTCCAACCTTTTACCTTTAACTATATGCGGCAATTGCCATTGTATCTGTGGGCACTTATGGAGCAGTCAGTGTAGCAAAATGTTCCCTGGGCAGCTTACTATCATCATCACCATCATCATCATCCCACCTTTTCCTCAGACTGGGACTCAATTCAGCTTACAGATAATATAGTTATACAGATAAAACTTCAATGTACATTAATAAAACTAATATAAGCATGAAAACATAACAGTTGCGGTGTCAGAATACCACTTGCTGAAATCCTATTGCCATGTTTTATATTATGTGGAAGAGATTTCCCATACAAAACGACTGAATTGTTCGAAACTGCATGGATTGATGCAGTGGGACAGAATAATTTGGGAACATGGGGCAGAAACTCACATATATTTGCATTGTAGTTTATATGGAATGTACCTGTTTCCTGAACAGTGTTTTACTGTTTTGCACTTGCAATGCAAAATTAGTAAAAAATACTTACACAGCACAAAAAAGAACACAGCTTGCTACTATGCCATATTACTGTGACTTTTTTTTGACGTGGTGGGTGTGCCGCGTGGACATTTTTGGGGTGAAATTGTTGGCACAACCACAAAACAACCGTTTTTAAATTTACTACTTCTTTGTTGCCGCTTACAGATCATGGATGGTTTCAGGAAGATGGGATTCCCTCACTGCGTTGGCGCGATGGACTTGACGCATCTGTCCATAATAGCCGCTACGGGTCCGGGAGACGAGTGCAACAAGCCAAAGAACTTCTGTTCCATTCTGCTTCAAGGGACAACCGACCACACCGGCCGTTTTACTAACATCGAAGTGGGATGGAGCGGGAAGAAACACGACGACGTGCAGATCTTCCGCAAATCTGCGCTGTGCCAGGCTATGGACGAGGGCACCTTTGTCCCAGGGAACCCCACTATCAACATACAGGGTGTGGAAATCCCACCTCTAATACTCGCCCATAGCACCTACCCTATGCGGAAGTGGCTCATGAAGCCCTACGGAGGCCCCTTGGACCAGAGGAAGACCATCTACAATAGGACCTTCAACCACTGCCACAGCGTGGTCCAGCAGGCCTTTGGCAGGCTCAAGGCAAGGTGGCGTTGCCTCACTGCGAGGCTGCCAGTAGCAGAGGAGAACGTTTTGGCGGTGGTCACCGCGTGTGTCGTGCTGCACAATATTTGTGAGACCAAGGGGCATGCTGTTCCCGAAGGTGTGGACATCTCTGAGCACGTACTGTTGGCAGCATATAACGAGGACTGTCATTCCTACGAAACCAGCAGTGAGTCGGGAGGCGAGGAGGTGCGCAATGCCATCTCACGTTACCTGGCAGGAAATACTGAATGCTGAGATCTGGACTTTGCATTTCTGTGTGTTTGGCATTTATTTTGTAAATATAATTGCCTTGGTTATGCTGATGCGTTTCATTTGTGTGTACGCCATCTACACTCGTTGAGTAAAGCTCAGGTTAATGAAGCCAGATCCCCTTCCCTTCATTCCTAAAATTCCATATTTTCCCTGTATTTTGCATTATTTTTCTGTTTTAAAAAAAATCATTACAGTTCATACCATTTGCACAAGTTGAATTAACATTTTGCTGCCATAAAGATGAATGTTAAGTGCACATACAGCCTGCTTCGCCCCCACCCTAAAACTCATAATGCTACCTCTCCACAAGAGCAAGACATCTGCCCCCAGATGTACAAACAAACAACAACAGCTTCCCTGTGAAAAAATAACAGACAAGTTAATGAAGGCATTGAAACACACTGCCCCTTCCTCCTGCTCTAGGGAAGGGCTCTGATTAAGCCATCTCCTCCGACCCCTTAGTACCATGGTGACTGAAACACAACTAGCTGGAGGAAGGAGAGGAGTTGCTTTAATTCCCCACGCCAAATCACAGATTTTAAAGGCGGACGATTCCTCAGAATGTAGCCCTCTTTAGGTGTTAATGGTCCATGGAATGACTCACTCAGGATAGCTCTATGAGCATAATGGTAGGGTGGGGATTGGAACTCAGGTCCCTCTGGTCCAAGTACAACACACTGGCAAGCCATGCGTTTGTTTTCCGTTTAATCAAGCAATCTAAAGCCTTGAGGGGGAAAAGGCAGGTTCTTGAATTCCAAGGTTGGGTATGTGACAACCCAAAACCTAATTACAGTGCCACCTTGGTTTAAGACCAGCTTAGTTTATGAACAACTTGGATTAAGAACGCTGCAAACCCAGAAGTTGGTGTTTTGGTTTGTGAACTTTGCCTTGGAAGCAGAACATGTTGAGTGTGTTGCATTTGTAAATTGAGTACCCCACTGCTATGGGAAAGCATTCCTTGGTTTAAGAACGCTTTGGTTTAAGAACGGACTTCCGGAATGGATTAAGTTCGTATCCCAAGGTACCACTGTATGTGGTACCGCTGCCTCCTTGGAGGAAGTTCCATTACTAGGGAGCTATAACCAAGAAGGTTCTGCAAATAAGGTGCCTGGTCATTGAGGCCACCCTTCCCTGCTGCCAGGGATCAGTAGCTACAGGCAACCTGTAAGCCCCATCTTTCATGCAGCCAGTTATCAAGGCCAATTAATCTTCCACCAATGTCTTCCAACCACAAACTACTTAAGTCTTCTTTTTGTTGGGCTCTATTCACATCTGACTTGTCACTAAGGACAGTGTTCAATGTAAAAGAACAAACGGGTGGTTGGGAGGAAGTGGGATGACTTTGGTGTTTGTGTGTGTGTGTTACAAGGTTAGGTCTGAAGTGTTACATCCACCTGAACAGAAACCTTCCTGAAGAGAATTAGGATGCATTCCACCCTTATCCCAAACCAGCACTGATTCCCAGCCCTCTATAAGGAAGCCTTTTAATGTGTAATGTTTTATTATGTTTTTATATGTGTTGGAAGCCACCCAAAGTGGCTGGGGCAATCCAGACAGATGGGCGGGGTACATATAATAAAATTATTATTATTATTATTATTATACACACATTGGCATATGGCATCATGGAGTCCTGGAGTCCAGCAGTGACAAAGACAGCAAGTCAGAGACTACAGAGTCATCAGCTAGGAAGGAAGCCTGAGTTCCCAACTGACACTGATAAGACGTTCCTATTTTCATCAACGTTCTCCTATTTTTCTTGGAGAAATGTTGGAGGGTAGGTAAAGTTGGTGATAGAAGAGATAACTGAACCTGAAGGATGGTAGACAGGAGTCCCCTGAACCATAACCACACAAGAATATCCTTGCTGGATCATGCCAGTGGCCCACCTACTTGCTTCTTCCGAAGTTGGAGTTCCTGTGTGTGTGTCGACAGCAAGCATATACTGTATAGTCTCCAAAATCAGGAATTTTGGCTAATAGCTGGTGCTAGAAAGAGGACGGTGTCTTGGGGTGCAGCGAACGCCTCATGGCATCCTTCACTTCTTTGTTCCTCAGGCAATATATGATAGGGTTGAGCATTGGTGTCACAACATTGTAAAGCACAGTCGCCAAGGTGTCAAAACATACAGAACGGCTGGCACTGGGCCTGTTATAATTGAACATGCAGGTAACATAGAATAAGGTGACCACCGTGAGGTGCGAAGTGCAGGTGGAGAACGCCTTGCGGCGGCCTCGGTTAGTACGGATTCTCAAGATGGCCGCCACGATGTGGACGTAGGAAACCACAATGCAAAGGAAAGGACTGACGCCGAGCAGCAGGGTGACTGCCAGCAAGGTGATTTGGTTGGGGAATGTGTCCGCGCAAGACAGCTTGAGTAGCTGGGGGACGTCGCAGAACAAATGGTCCAGGTTGTGAGAGGCACAGAAGGGCAGGAGAGCGGTCATGGCCGTGTGCAGGACTGAATTGAGGAAGCCACAGGCCCAGGAGGCTGCCACCAGCCGGGTACACAGCTTCCTGTTCATGAAGATGGTGTACGTAAGTGGGTGGCAGATGGCGACGTATCGGTCATACGCCATCACGGCCAGGAGGAGGCACTCAACCCCTACAAAAGTCACCAAGAAGTAAAGCTGAGCCAGGCAGCCCAGGATAGAGATGGTCTTTGTCTCCGTCAACAGATTCTTGAGCATGTGGGGCAGAGTGACGGAGGAATAGCAAATGTCCAGGAACGACAGGTGCTGGATGAAATAGTACATGGGCGTACGAAGGCCAGAATCTAGCCCTGCGGTCACCAGGATAAGAGCATTGCCCAGCAAGGTGGTGATATACATGGTCAGAAACAGGAGGAAGAACAGGGCTTGGGGTTCCGGGAAGCTGGAGAAGCCCAGGAACACAAATGATGTTGTCGCGGTTTGGTTTCCCATCTGCCTCACCTCCTGTACCTGAAATGTGGGAGAGATTTAGAAGACCAAACGGAGGGACCACACCCATAACTGAAAATCATGCTTATTCCCAGCACACACAAAGCCCCATTCACTTGGTTGTATTTATTTCATCTGTGATCTCCCAAGCACACCATGAGTTACAGCAAGAGCTGGGATAGCTCAAGGGGTAGAGCATGAGACTCTTAATCTCTTCGTCTTGGGATTGAGCCCCACCTTGGGCAAAAAAAAATAAAATCCTGTATTGCAGGGAGCTGGACTAGATGACCCACGTGGTCCCTTCTGACTCTACAATTCTGATTCTATGTAATCTGCCCTTTCCTCCCTATTTGTTTCCTGATCTATAAGATACCCGATTATTCATTTCTGTCTCTCTGTCTCTCCCTTGCACCTTCAGCATCTGTTTCTTTCTTTCCCTCTTTTTCTTCTTTTGCAGCTTGTGATTCAAGCCCAGCCTTTGTCCACTAGATGCCCTGAAGATGTTGCTGGATTATAGCTCCCATCTTCCATGACCATCGGCCATGTTGGCTGGGTCTGATGGGAGTTGGAGTCCCATGACATCTGCAGATGTGGGGCAAGCCTAGTTGAGGCAAGCTGCTCTGCCATCTCTACCGGTTTGTTAGTGACTTCCTCTTCTCTCTCCTTCCTAAACCTCACTTCAACTGCTGCTGCCTCACCAGTGTGCATCACAGCAGAGATTTCTCATCCTTTGCTTCCTCTGTTAGCTTTGCAGTCTCTGCTTCACTTCATACTTCTGCTCTATTGACAAAGCTGCATGAATCCCACAGTGCAGGGCTAGGAAAGCCAATCTGGTGCCCACCTGACGTTTCTAGACTACAACGCCCATCGGCCTCAGCCAACACGGGCAGTGGTCAGGAATGGTAGGAGTTCTAGTCCAGAAACATCTGGATGTTGTTGACTGTTTCGGGTGTAGAATGCTATGAGAAAGTAGTTTCTGCCCCTGTAAATACAGATATTTCTGTAATAATGTAACTGGGATAGGATTAACATAACACAACTCTCTTAGATGCAGGATGTGTCATATTGGACACCTGGGACCTTGGCTCAAATATTTGTTTGACCATGAAGTTTAGTAACAGTGACCGTAGGCAGTCTTTCAGCCTAAGCTGCCTCAAAGGGTTTTTCTGAGGGGAACTGGGATAGCCCAGTTTTATCAACAGCCATTTAAAAAAATAAAAGCATTTCTTGTAGTGAGTAAGCACTGCTTCAGGTGGGGAAATGCTTGCAAACTAGATGGGAATGAGCTCCATTCCCCACCCAATCGCAGGCACTTGAATTTTGAGTACAAGCAACGTTCATGGGTTTTCTTTTCTTTTTTCCAAGATAGAGATGGGAGGAAAGCTGAGGAACAAGCTGTGAAGTCAATACATTCCACAGTGCCCTGTTTAGTCAGTGGACTCATGTCAGAGTTTTGGAAGCAGGCTATCGTTCTTGGTGGGCAACAGTAAAGTTGCCTAAGGGATCAAAGAGGAATATAAAAAATTTCCCAGCCTTTCCCCCATCCATTTCCTCTGCTTGGTGTTTATAGATGCTACAATCACAGCAAAATCAGAGAAGACAATGCTAAACTAAATTTGTTGGAAGACCAGTGAAGCAAGGCATTTGACAGCAAGAGAGATGCTGGCAATCACTGTTCCAGATGAATCTTCCTGTGTGATTTTCAGCTACTCTGAATTCAAGGTTGCAATGGTTTTTGAGTCTGCAAACCAATTTAGTTAAAACAGTTCTATGTGATCTTTGCCCCATTGACTTGCCTGGCTTCAATTGCCTTCACATTTATAGACTCAGGCTTGCCTGAAGCTGCTTTAAGTTGAGTGAGGTCAATGGCCCATGTTAGTAAAGTATTTACTCTGACAGGTACATAGGAACATATGGATCTGCCTTCTACTGAGACTGGCCAGTGGCCCACAGAGCTCAGTATTGTCACACAGACAACAGCACTCAAGGATTCCTGGCCAGAGTTTCTCCCAGCCCTAGATCATCCTAACAACCCGCAAAACATTCTAGAGTCTCACCTCAAAACACAAAAGTATGTTGCATTACAGAGGTAGCCAACATGGTGCCCTTGGGATGTGGTTAGACTGAGCTCCATCCTAAGCAGTGACAACAAAATGAAGATGCAAAGCCAGAGAGTGAGAACAAGAGATGAATAGCTAGGTAGACCAACAGATGGACAGGGAGCCGGGAAATAAGTTGCATTAAGGACCATAAATATATTTACCAGTGCAGAAGGGTCTCTTTTGTATTATCTCCAGTAAACGCCCATTTCTTGTAATCACACCCCATGAATAAGCCCATGTATATCTTAGTTCTTTGAATACACAAAGCATTTTTAAAAATATCCCAGTGTATTTGCTGCAGATCTGAGGAGCAAACATATCTCAATGCCTTTGAGATTGATTAACTCAAAGGAATTGGTACTCTTAGAGAATTGTTTACTTGCTATAAGAAGTTCCGTCCCCCTTGAGCATTATGTTCCTTGATTGGACCCAGAAGACTTCAAGATCAGCCCAGTACAGCCTATTCTTACAGTGAATAATAATAATAATAATAATATTTATATGCCGGCCATCTGACTAGGTTGCCCCAGCCACTCTGGGCAGCTCCCCCCAAAATATTAAAAACACAATAAAGCTGACTGCACAGGATACAGACTGTACTGTTACATTTCTCCATTTGCAATAGCACTTACTTGAGTTTGGTTTCCTTTGAAAGGAGGCTTATTGCCATTTTGTAATATTTGCATTTATTTACAGATAGACAGGATGAGCATAGGTGGAGGCACAACTTCAGTACTCCAAAAGTCCATCACAGTTCACTGTTCCTGCATCAGAACCATTTTGAAAATCATTGCCACTGGTGTTACCCAATGAATGGCTTGAAAGCATCAGACTATTCCGCAACATAAACAGATGTGAATCTGATCGGCATCTGGGCATAAGCTGCTATGAGCAGGCCATATCAGACAATCTGACTCCCGTTTTGTGGGGAGAAAAATAGATATAAACCTTCCATGTGGGAGAATTGGCTTGATCCCTAGATCTAAAGTGCGGGGCTAAACATACGCTCCAGCAAGAGAGAGCGTGCAGCAGAGTTTAAAAACACAGAATTGTGCAGCAAGTGAGTGAAGCATTAGAATAAAAGTCTGTGGGACCTTTTAAATATTCTTAACACAGAGAAATCCCCTGTTAAACTCAAATGTCTTTCACCCTTTATCTGCGTATGTGTGCACAAGAGAGGGAAATGGTAATATTTCCCTTTCCAGTTCCCAAGGAAAAGGTTACTGGGAGGGTAGACTTTTCTCCTAGGAAGAGTTTACACCAGGCATAGGCAAACTCGGCCCTCCAGATGTTTTGGAACTACAGTTCCCATCAACCCTGACCACTGGTCCTGCTAGCTAGGGATCATGGGAGTTGTAGGTCAAAAACATCTGGTGGGCCAAGTTTGCAAATGCCCGGTTTACACTTTGGTTCTTTTTGCTCACATAGCAATTTTAAAATTTTAAAAATGCATTGCCTCCATCTAGGGTGAGGGAAGAAAGAAGCTGCAGCCAGGAACAGGACATGTTTGTGGTAGTTTTCACAACTGACTAAAAACTCCAGATACATTGAAGGTTTAGATAACAACATTCTCTAACTTGGTCATTTTCCAGGACTGTCATCTTATCCACAGGGAGATAATCCACCCTGTACTGTAGTTCATTAGAGAGCACTTGCACATTAGCAATTAAATAGTTTTTTCTTTCTCCTCAGTGACAAATGTACCCAAAGATCAGGAAAAAACTGTTTATGTATGCAACAACAGCTGCCCAGATGATTTATGCCAGGTGCAGGCAAACTCGGCCCTCCAGATGTTTTGGGACTACAATTCCCATCATCCCTGACCACTGGTCCTGCTAGCTAGGGATCATGGGAGTTGTAGGTCAAAAACATCTGGCGGGCCAAGTTTGCAAATGCCTGGTTTACACGTTTGTTCTCCCTGCTCACATGGCAAAAAGAGCTCAGAGGGAAAAGGAGAGACTGACACATTTGCAGAGGCATGCAACATTTTTATTTAAGATATTGAAAACCAAATAAACTTCACTGTGCACAACTGGTTCCACACATTTCAAAACATGTTTTGATTTTATGCCAGGATTTCAAAATCTTGCTTCCCAGTTCCAGATCTTTAGGTTACACAGGGCAGCACATAAGCCAGGGATGCCATCTTCATTTCAACATCAGGAAATGGCATTGCATGCAGAGTTGGGTGGGACATGTCCTCTGGCTCACCCATAGCTCTATTCTGGACCTTCTGCTTGTGGAAGTCGCACAGCTCAGTTGGTTAGATCGTGGTGCTGATGACGCCAAGGTTGCAGGTTCGATTCCCCTATGGGACCGCTGCCTATTCCTGCATTGTAGGGGTTGGACTAGATGATCCTCAGAGTCCCTTCCAACTCTACAATTCTGTGATTCTGAGGGAGCTGCTGAATTGAGACAATTGTGTTTCCATAACACTTGCCTTTGTGCTGCATTTCCAGGCACAGAATTGGGCTTTCCAGTCCATTTCCAAGCATTTATTTATTTTTGCCCCACCACTTTCCCCATGAAAACCCACTCTTTGACACTGAATTGGAGCAAATGGCAATTTGTGGAAAACCTGAATTGCTGTTTGTTCCAATTCAGCAGTAGAGACTGGGTTTTCCTGGGGAATGTGGAGGGACAAAAAATGGAAAGTGAATGGACACGGGCCAGGGAAGTGCAGACCAGTGGCATAATCTTTAATGTACTTTAGCCCATATCATAAGACATCTGAAAATGAAGGAATATATGGAAACCTAAGAAGAAATCAGCTAAAGTGCCACAGGAGTCTTTGATGTTTTTGTTCTGGCAGACTAAAATAGGTTCCCTTCTGGAATTTGTTTGCTCAAGTCCTTCATGCTGTGACTACATTTCTCCAGGGCAAACATTCAAAATTCCACAACAGCTGAATTCCCAAGCTAAAAAGTCAGGGCTCGACATCAGAAATATTTGTGTTTCGTTATTTCACTATCCATAAACCTCGCTTTCCTATTTTGCAAGACTTTAGGTGACAAATTATAGGTTTTTCTAGACACAAAAGTATAAGTTGAAAAGGCTCTTGCGGGGACCAGTACAAATGTGCACCTATACAAAAATATACATCAAAAGAAAAGGCCACCTAAGCAAATTTAATAAAACAGAAAAAAAGAAAAAAGAAAAGGCCAGCATTTCTGATATTAAAGGGAGGAGGCTGGTAGGTATCAGAGGTCTCTCTTCCTCCCTGTCACTTTCCTGAAAGCTTGTTTCACATCCTTATTCCTTAAGCTATAGATCAGTGGATTCAACATGGGTGTGATGGTGACATAGAATATGGCAAGGTATTTGTCTAGATCTGAGGATGTCTTGGTTTGAGGCTGTAAGTACATTGACATGGCTGTTCCATAGAATATGGTGACCACCATGAGATGTGAACTACAGGTTGAGAAGGCCTTGGCCCTGTTCTCTGTGGATTGCATTTTCAACACGGTGGTGATAATACGGGCATAGGTGACCAAGATGAAGCCAAAAGGAAGAAGCAGAGTAAGGATGCTGGTCACAAACATTGACACCTGGTTTCCACTAGTATCTGAGCAGGCCAACTTGAGCATAGCCTGAATCTCACACAGAAAGTGGTTGATAACATTATGCCCACATAGAGAGGCCTGTGAGGTGAGAGAAGGTACCAGGATCAGCAGGAAGGAGCTGCCCCATGAAATGGTTGCCATAGCAATGCAAACCTTATTGCTCATGATGATATTATAGCGCAGGGGGTTGCAAACAGCCACCCAGCGGTCATAGGACATCATTGCCAGCAGGAGGCATTCTGTCATCCCCAAGAAGAGGGAGATGTACATTTGGGCGTAACAGCCGGAATGGGAAATGGTGGTCTTGGCTGACAGGCAATGAGCCAACATCTGGGGGATGGTGCTGGTAGTATAGCAGATGTCAAGGAAAGACAGGTTGCCAAGGAAGAAGTACATGGGGGTGTGCAGGCGGGGGTCCACCACAGCAAGCAGCAGGAGGAGACCGTTGCCCACCACAGTGATGAGGTAGATGAGGAGAAAAAGGCCAAAGAGGGCGATCTTCGTCTGAGGGTTACTAGAGAGGCCCAGCAGGATGAATTCTGTCGTGGTAGTCTCATTCTCTCTTCTGCCCATGTTATCTCCCTCTAAGAGCTTAGCTGGAACTGAAACAGGAAAACAGATTGGAAGTAAATAGCCTCACCCGACCCAAAAGTGTTGCATTAATTTATATTGAGACTTACATCTTGTATTATTGCTGAAGCTTCAAGGCTGCTAAGCAATAATGAGGACAATAAGAATAAGGAAAACCATCCACAATATTAAGCACCATTAAGCCCAGTCGTGGCCGACTCTGGGGTTGCGGCGCTCATCTCACTTTATTGGCCGAGGGAGCCGGCGTACAGCTTCCAGGTCATGTGGCCAGCATGACTAAGCTGCTTCTGGTGAACCAGAGCAGTGCATGGAAACGCCGTTTACCTTCCCGCTGGAGTGGTACCTATTTATCTACTTGCACTTTGATGTGCTTTTGAACTGCTAGGTTGGCAGAAGCAAACTAAAAATTGCAAGGAGAGGGAGTTGAAGAAGTCAGGGAGTGGGAAGAGGGGAATGAGTCTTGGAAGCCATCAAATTTCATTAAGAGCTTGAGAAGGCAGAAGGTATGCAACGAGTAATTGTGTAGGAGACACAAAAGTGAGAGGCAGCATCAAAAAAACCCACCACCTCCCACTCGAGAGCCAGTGTGGTGTAGTGGTTAAGAGTGGTAGATTCGTAATCTGAGGACCCAGTTCACGTCTCCACTCCTCCACATACAGCTGCTGGGTGACCTTGGGCTACTCACACTTGTCTGAAGTCTCTCAGCCCCACTCACCTCACAGAGTGTTTGTTGTGGGGGAGGAAAGGAAAGGGGAATGTTAGTCGCTTTGAGACTCCTTTAGGTAGTGATAAAGCGGGATATCAAATCCAAACTCCTCCTCCTCCTCCACTCAACAAAACAATCCAGATTTAGTCATGCTTATAGTACACCAAATACACACACACACACACACACACACACACACACAGTACATACAATTATTGTGTTTTTTAATGTAGCCCACTGTGGGTAGCTCTCAGTATCATCAGCCCATACATACATACCTCTGAAACTAGCACCAAAATCCATGGAACTTATATTAATCATAATGTCAGCAGAAGTCTGGAAAATGCAACTTAGTCAGACTGCACTTCTCCAGCGATTTACTTCTGTCTGATCAGATAGAATTAGGATTGCAACTTGAATTCAGACTGAACTCAATATATTTACAACAAAGGAAATGAAGTCCTCTAACACCCCACCACCATGAAAAACATAATTAACGTGTATAATTTTATTGTCACAAGGCGACACAATGGCCATTAGACTACTTTAAAAGGCAGTTAGAAAATAAGAGAAGAAGAAGAAGAATATTCATTGAAAGAAGACTGGAACCTGTTTCCTGATTATATGGGTGAAAATTGTGTACATTTAAAAACGCTGGTAGCATTAAGATAAATTCAACAGTGTAAACCAATTTTGATGGTGTAACAATGGATTACTGAATGGTTTAGTTCATTTAAAATATGCAGGGATGTACGGTATGCAAAATGAACCACAGAAAGAGAAGAAGGGAAGTCATTGATTTAAGGTTGTTTAAATGAATATTTTGAAATGTAAATTAGAAAAATCTAATAAAAACTATATCTAAAAAATAAAATAAAAGGGAATTAGGAAAAAAAAAACCCACAGTGGATCAAAGTATCCCCAACTGTAAGCCAGGATAGATAAAAATGAAACATCAACATGCAGAGGAGGTATGACTCTGTATACCAGATGCTGAGGACAAATTACAAGGCAAGGGAAATGCCATCAGTTTCATGGCGGCATCAGGGAGCAGGACCATGACGGGCAACCATTGTTTGAAACAAAGAGTATCGGACGAGATGGACCGTTGGCCTGATCTATCAAGACATTTATTATATTATTACAGGAGACAAAGTAATAACTGATCTTGTCCTAAATTCTCATTTAACATCCTTAGAAGGAACAGGAAAGACAGTAACTCACCATAGCAATGCCTTAATCTTCCAGAGTTTTTGGCACCCGTTCACAAATTTTCCCTCACTTGTGAAAAATGAAAGAAATGCAAATTACTTACAAATATTAGAGAATAGGATACTGTGTGCCATAGTTTGGGCATTTTAAATAAGTCCACAACTATCCCATAGATCAATGAAATTTAAAAAATGCATTGCCTCCATCTAGAGTGAGGGAAGAAAGAAGCTGCAGCCAGGAACAGGACACGTTTGTGGTAGTTTTCACAAATGACGAAAAACTCCAGATACATTCAATGTTTAGATAACAACATTCTCTAATTTGGTCATTTTCCAGGATTGCCATCTCATCCACAGGGAGATAATCCACTCTGTTCTGTAGTTCATTAGGGAGCACTTGCACATTAGCAATTAAAAAGTTTTTTCTTTCTCCTCAGTGACAAATGTATCCAAAGATCAGGAAAAAACTGTTTATGTATGCAACAACAGCTGCTCAGATGATTTATGCCAGGCGCAAGCAAACCCGGCCCTCCAGATGTTTTGGGACTACAGTTCCCATCATCCCTGACCACTGGTCCTGCTAGCTAGGGATCATGGGAGTTGTGGGTCAAAAACATCTGGCAGGCCAAGTTTGCCTATGCCTGGTTTACAATTTTGTTCTTTCTGCTCACATGGCAAAAAGAGCTCAGAGAGAAAAAGGAGAGACTGACACAGTGGCAGAGACGTGCAACATTTTTATTTATTTTATTTAAGATATTGAAAACCAAATAAACATGACTGTGCACAACTGGTTCCACACATTTCAAAGCATGTTTTGATTTCATGCCAGGATTTCAAAATCTTGCTTCCCAGTTCCAGATCTTTAGGTTACACAGGGCAGCACATAAGCCAGGGATGCCATTTTCACTTCAACATCAGGAAATGGCATTGCATGCAGAGTTGGGTGGGACATGTCCTCTGACTCACCCATAGCTCTATTCTGGACCTTCTGCTTGTGGAAGTCGCACAGCTCAGTTGGTTAGATCGTGGTGCTGATGACGCCAAGGTTGCAGGTTCGATTCCCCTATGGGACTGCTGCCTATTCCTGCATTGTAGGGGTTGGACTAGGTGATCCTCAGAGTCCCTTCCAACTCTACAATTATGGGATTCTAAGGGAGCTGCTGAATTGAGACAATTGTGTTTCCATAACACTTGCCTTTGTGCTGCATTTCTAGGCACAGAATTGGGCTTTCCAGTCCATTTCCAAGCATTTATTTATTTTTGCCCCACCACTTTCCCCATGAAAACCCGCTCCTTGACACTGAATTGGAGCAAATGGCAATTTGTGGAAAACCTGAATTGCTGTTTGTTCCAATTCAGCAGTAGAGACTGGGTTTTCCTGGGGAATGTGGAGGGACAAAAAATGGAAAGTGCGTGGACACGGGCCAGGGAAGTGCAGACCTGTGGCATAATCTTTAATGGACTTTAGCCCATATCATCAGACATCTGAAAATGAAGGAATATATGGAAACCTAAGAAGAAATCAGCTAAAGTGCCACAGGAGTATTTGATGTTTTTGTTCTGGCAGACTAAAACAGGTTCCTTCTAGAATTTGTTTGCTCAGGTCCTTCATGCTGTGACTACATTTCTCCAGGGCAAACATTCAAAATTCCACAACAGCTGAATTCCCAAGCTAAAAAGTCAGGGCTCGACATCAGAAATATTTGTGTTTCGTTATTTCACTATCCATAAACCTCGCTTTCCTATTTTTCAAGACTTTAGGTGACAAATTATATCTTTTTCTAGACACAAAAGTATTAGTTGAAAAGACACATGCGGGGACCAGTACAAATGTGCACCTATACAAAAATATACATCAAAAGAAAAGGCCAGCATTTCTGATATTAAAGGGAGGAGGCTGGTAGGTATCAGAGGTCTCTCTTCCTCCCTGTCACTTTCCAGAAAGCTTGTTTCACATCCTTGTTCCTTAAGCTATAGATCAGTGGATTCAACATGGGTGTGATGGTGCCATAGAATATGGCAATGTATTTATCTAGATCTGAGGATGTCTTGGTTTGAGGCTGTAAGTACATTGACATAGCTGTTCCATAGAATATGGTGACCACCATGAGATGTGAACTACAGGTTGAGAAGGCCTTGGCCCTGTTCTCTGTGGATTGCATTTTCAATACGGTGGTGATAATACGGGCATAGGTGACCAAGATGAACCCAAAAGGAAGAAGCAGAGTAAGGATGCTGCTGGCAAACATGATCAACTGGTTTCCACTAGTATCTGAGCAGGCCAACTTGAGCATAACCTGGACCTCACACAGAAAGTGGTTGATAACATTATGCCCACATAGAGAGGCCTGTGAGGTGAGAGAAGGTACCAGAATCAGGAGGAAGGAGCTGCCCCATGAAATGGTTGCCATAGCAGTGCAAACCTTATTGCTCATGATGATATTATAGCGCAGGGGGTTGCAAACAGCCACCCAGCGGTCGTAGGACATCATTGCCAGCAGGAGGCATTCTGTCGTCCCCAAGAAGAGGGAGATGTACATTTGGGCGTAACAGCCGGAATGGGAAATGGTGGTCTTGGCTGACAGGCAATGAGCCAACATCTGGGGGATGGTGCTGGTAGTATAGCAGATGTCAAGGAAAGACAGGTTGCCAAGGAAGAAGTACATGGGGGTGTGCAGGCGGGGGTCCACCACAGCAAGCAGCAGGAGGAGACCGTTGCCCACCACAGTGATGAGGTAGATGAGGAGAAAGAGGCCAAAGAGGGCGATCTTCGTCTGAGGGTTACTAGAGAGGCCCAGCAGGATGAATTCTGTCGTGGTAGTCTCATTCTCTCTTCTGCCCATGTTAACTCCCTCTATGAGCTTAGCTGGAACTGAAACAGGAAAACAGATTGGAAGTAAATAGCCTCACCCGACCCAAGAGTGTTGCATTAATTTATATTGAGGCTTACATCTTGTATTATTGCTGAAGCCTCAAGGCTGCTAAGCAATAATGAGGAAAATAAGAATCAGGAAAACCCCCATAATATTAGAAGGAAACTAAAAACTGCAAGGAGGGGGAGTTGAAGAAGTTAGGGAGTGGGAAGAGGGGAATGGGTCTTGGAAGCCATCAAATTTCATTAAGAGCTTGAGAAGGGCAGAAGGGATGCAATGAGTAATTGCGTAGGAAACACAAAAGTGAGAGGCAGCATCAAAAAAACCCACCACCTCCCACTCCAGAGCCAGTGTGGTGTAGTGGTTAAGAATGGTAGATTCGTAATCTGGGGACCTGGTTCACGTCTCCACTCCTCCACATGCAGCTGTTGGATGACCTTGGGCTACTCACACTTCTCTGAATTCTCTCAGCCCCACTCACCTCACAGGGTGTTTGTTGTGGGGGAGGAAGGAAAAGGAGAATATTAGTCGCTTTGAGACTCCTTTGGGTAGTGATAAAGCGGGATATCAAATCCAAACTCCTCCTCCTCCTCCACTCAACAAAACAATCCAGATTTAGTCATGCTTATAGTACACCAAATACACACACACACAGTACATACACTTATTGTGTTTTTTTATGTAGCCCACTGTGGGTAGCTCTCAGTATCATCAGCCCATACATACATACCTCTGAAACTAGCACCAAAATCCATGGAACTTATATTAATCATAATGTCAGCAGAAGTCTGGAAAATGCAACTTAGTCAGACTGCACTTCTCCAGAAATTTACTTCTGTCAGATCAGATAGAATTAGGATTGCAACTTGAATTCAGACTGAATTCAATATATTTACAACAAAGGAAAGGAAGTCCTCTAACATCCCACCACCACGAAAAACATAATTAACGTGTATAATTTTATTGTCACAAGGCGACACAATGGCCATTAGACAACTTTAAAAGGGAGTTAGAAAATAAGAGAACCAGAAGAATATTCATTGAAAGAAGACTGGAAACTGTTTCCTGATTATATGGGTGAAAATTGTGTACATTTAAAAACGCTGGTAGCATTAAGATAAATTCAACAGTGTAAACAAGTTTTGATGGTGTAACAATGGATTACTGAATGGTTTAGTTCATTTAAAATATGCAGGGATGTACGGTATGCAAAATGAACCACAGAAAGAGAGGAAGGGAAGTCATTGATTTAAGGTTGTTTAAATGAATATTTTGAAATGTAAATTAGAAAAATCTAATAAAAACTATACATAAAATAAATAAATAAAAGGGAATTAGAAAAAAAAATCCCACAGTGGATCAAAGTATCCCCAACTGTAAGCCAGGATAGATAAAAATGAAACATCAACATGCAGAGGAGGTATGACTCTGTATACCAGATGCTGAGGACAAATTACAAGGCAAGGGAAATGCCATCAGTTTCATGGCGGCATCAGGGAGCAGGACCATGACGGGCGACCATTGTTTGAAACAAAGAGTATCGGACGAGATGGACCGTTGGCCTGATCTATCAAGACATTTATTATATTATTACAGGAGACAAAGTTATAACTGGTTCTGTCCTAAATTCTCATTTAACATCCTTAGAAGGAAAAGGAAAGACAGCAACTCACCATAGCAATGCCTTAATCTTCCAGAGTTTTTGGCACCCGTTCACAAATTTTCCCTCACTTGTGAAAAATGAATGACATGCAAAATACCTACAAATATTAGAGAATAGGGTAGTGTGTGCCATAGTTTGGGCATTTTAAATAAGTCCACAACTATCCCATAAATCAATGAAATTTAAAAAATGCATTGCCTCCATCTAGGGTGAGGGAAGAAAGAAGCTGCAGCCAGGAACAGGACATGTTTGTGGTAGTTTTCACAACTGACTAAAAACTCCTGATTCATTCAAGGTTTAGATAACAACATTCTCTAACTTGGTCATTTTCCAGGACTGTCATCTTATCCACAGGGAGATAATCCACTCTGTACTGTAGTTCATTAGAGAGCACCTGCACATTAGCAATTAAATAGTTTTTTTTCCCTCCTCAGTGACAAATGTACCCAAAGATCAGGAAAAAACTGTTTATGTATGCAACAACAGCTGCCCAGATGATTTATGCCAGGTGCAGGCAAACTCAGCCCTCCAGATGTTTTGGGACTACAGTTCCCATCATGCCTGACCACTGGTCCTGCTAGCTAGGGATCATGAGAGTTGAAGGTCAAAAACATCTGGAGGGCTGAGTTTGCCTATACTTGGTTTACACTTTGGTTCTTTCTGCTCACATGGCAAAAAGAGCTCAGAGGGAAAAGGAGAGACTGACACATTTGCAGAGACGTGCAACATTTTTATTTGAGATATTGAAAACCAGATAAACATGACTGTGCACAACTGGTTCCACACATTTCAAAGCATGTTTTGATTTCATGCCAGGATTTCAAAATCTTGCTTCCCAGTTCCAGATCTTTAGGTTACACAGGGCGGCACATAAGCCAAGGATGCCATCTTCATTTCAACATCAGGAAGTGGCATTGCATGCAAAGTTGGGTGGGACATGTCCTCCAGCTCACCCATAGATCTATTCTAGACCTTCTGCTTGTGGAAGTTGCATAGCTCAGTTGGTTAGATCGTGGTGCTGATGACGCCAAGTTTGCAGGCTTGATCCCCCTATGGGAGCGCTGCCTATTCCTGCGTTGTAGGGGGTTGGACTACATGATCCTCAGAGTCCCTTCCAACTCTACAATTCTGTGATTCTGAGGGAGCTGCTCAATTGAGACAATTGTGTTTCCATAACACTTGCCTTTGTGCTGCATTTCTAGGCACAGATTTGGGCTTTCCAGTCCATGTCCAAGCATTTACCGTATTTTTCGCTCCATAAGATGCACCAGACCATAAGACGCACCTAGTTTTTGGAGGAGGAAAACAAGAAAAAAAAAATTCTGAATCTCAGAAGCCAGAACAACAAGAGGGATCACTGCACAGTGAAAGCAGCGATACGTCTTGCTGTTCTAGCGTCTGGGATAGCCTGCGCAGCCTGCATTCGCTCCATAAGACGAACACACATTTCCCCTTAATTTTTAGGAGGGGAAAAATGTGTCTTATAGAGCAAAAAATACGGTATTTATTTTTGCCCCACCACTTTCCCCATGAAAACC